TATATATGTGTGTGTGTGTGTGTGCGTGTGCATGTATGTATGTATATATATATATATGTATATTCATATATGTATACATATATTTGTATGTATGTATATTATATATTTATGTATGTATGTATATATATATATATGTGTGTGTGTGTGTGTGTGTGTCACGTGTGTATATGTCACGTGTGTGTAATATGCATATATATAATACGGATATTGTACTGCACTATTTCAAGATAGTGATGTGGTACCTCCTAGAAGGGTTGTAACATCGTGTAAAACATATGCAGTGTTTTTACGTTATGTTGACACCTCGCAACACAACCGAATATTATATTACGGTATTGCAGAATAGAGATATGGTACACCCCAAATAGTGGGTTACAGTATCGTGTTAACCACCCCGCAGTGTCTGTTATAGCTTGAGGGCGCAGTCCTCGCATAGCATGTGAATTGAATCATTACACGGCTACTAAATTGCAGTTTAAGGTTAGTTGGTGAATAGCGAAATTGTATCCCGTATACGCGGTCATTAAAGAGTGTAATATACCAACTTGCGTCTCGTTCCTGAATTCTTTGAACTTGTTCCAATATCCTTGTGCGCATACACTTATGGTCTGGAAGTGTGCAGATACAAGTTTATTAGCCCTTTCGACGTCGACTTTAGTATTGAAAACCGAATGCCAAACTTTAAACTCGACTGCCTACAAAATGTTTGAAATTTATTGCTTTATCATTCAGATAGGTATTCTAGCGTAGTTGCTTGATATTCATTCAGCCATATAAATTAGGCCTATCGGGAGCTCATCGTCATTTATTACATATCGATCTATTTGGTTGTAAAAACATGCGTAGTTACCAAAAAGAACTATGCATACTACCGCAATCCTCTCTAGTAGAGAGATCAAGCCTATGATACTACGTACTCGGTGTCTCTCCCTCTCTTGTCGTGAAAGCACTGATACTATGGAATATGGCATTTCCTCAATTATCTTCACAGACTTCACCACCCCTAATGGTCCCCAATTGGCCCCCGGAAAATAAACAAACCCGTCTATTTATAGATAAAAGAACAATATAAAAATCTGAAATCAACACTGAGAATGTTGGAGTATTTACAAAAATTATATCGCCGAACTGCAATATCTTCATATATTCACCACTTCTTGTGCAGCTGTTCACACACCAAGCTACGGATTTAGGGCGTGTGTTAGGTCTGTAAGTATATATATATACATCTTTCTCTCTCTCTCTATAGAAGATGATACAGTTTCTACTGCTATTCAGCCGAGTGGGTAAAATCCGTCTGCAAAAATGGTATCAGAATTACACGGCAAAGGAGAGAAAACGCCTTATGAGGGAGATGACAACACTACTTCTCAATCGAAAGCCTAAGATGTCCGCGTAAGTATTCGATAAGTCTCAGTTAAACATTAGATAATTTCCATCATGGGGTACTGATATCGACATCTACTCGGTGCGTGCCTTATACATAGTCTCATATTTACGAATTTGCCTGTAACGCTACTCAAATTAGTAGTCTCGCCGATAAATCGCACACTTGCTTGTACAAACACAAGGAACCCATAATTGATCGCACGTATATCCAATGTAGATAAACTTCATGAATGCTGTAACGTTGCAATGAAACCGTACACATACTTAGCTGCATACACATTGCTCATAATCGCGTCTACATAGCATACAAGACGGAAAAGAATAGATAGATA